TCCTCCTCCAGGAACACTTTGCTGACGTAGCAGGCGTAGACGAAACCGAAGAGCTGGGGAGAAACAGCGGGCAGGGAGAGGCTGGTTATGGGGGATGGGGAGCACAGCTGGCCTGGTGACACAGGGGACATGGCTGGGGGGCTGGGAGAGAACTGGGGGGGCTGGGAGAGAAGTGGGAGCAAACTGGGGGGGCTGGGAGGGAACTGGAGGTGCTGGGAGAGAACTGGGGGTGAACTGGGAGTGAACTGTGAATGAACTGGGGGTGCTGGGAGTGAATGGGGGTGCTGGGGGTGAACTGGGAATGCTGGGAGCGAACTGGGGGTGCTGGGAGCGAACTGGGGGTGCACTGGGAGGGAACTGGGGGTGCACTGGGGGTGCACTGGGAGTGCTGGGAGTGAACTGGGGGTGCTGGAAGGGAACTGGATGTGCTGGGAGTGAACTGGGGATGCTGGGAGTGAACTGGGGGTGCACTGGGAGTGAACTGGGGGTGCTGGGAGTGAATGGGGGTGCACTGGGAGTGAACTGGGAATGCTGGGAGTGAACTGGGGGTGCTGGGAGTGAACTGGGGGTGCACTGGGAGTGAACTGGGAGGGAACTGGGGGTGCTGGGAGCAGCCAGAGCCCGTCCTGGTGCAGTTTGGGGTGCAGCAGGGTTGGATGGACTCAGCTGCAGAAGGGAGGGGCCAAGGCTGGCACCCCACAGGGGGTTCTGAGCCCCCCACAGGGTGTTCTGAGCCCCCCACAGGGCTGGAAGCCCCTCTGGGGACTCAGTTGCTCTGTTTTAGGGAGCTCTGCCCGCAGCTTTGCTCCTCTGCCACCTCCCCACAGGGGTGACGGTCACCGACAAGGGGGGGACATCCCTCCCAGCGAGTGATTCCTCCCTCCCCGCAGCATCCAGCCCTCAACCTGACGAGTTTCGGGGCGGGCAGCACCCCTGGGTGCCGGCTGCTCCCCTCTGGGTGACAGAAATGTGCGATGGGGACCCCTCCAGCCGGACCCCGCTCCCGGTTCCGAGGGGAGAGGCTCCCTCACCGCCAGGAAGATCTGCGTGGCGCTGCTCAGCACCTCGATGTACTGATAGTCCAGCAGGCAGCCGCTGACCGTGATAACGTGGTGGTCCTCGGGGGCCAGCTTGGAGTTGAGCACCGGGGTCACCAGGCAGCCAGGGCCGTTCTCCATCCACCACGAGCGGTGCAGGGACGTGTTGAAGGTCATGATGAAGTCTCGGTCCTGCAGGAGGAGGAGGAGGAGGCACAGGCGGTGGGTCCGAGGCTCTCGGCAGGAGGGTTGGACAGGGAATGGTGTGAGAGATGGTCTGGGGCACGGCAGAGACCTCCACAGCAGAGTTAGGTGTCAGGAGTTTATTTCAGGGTTCAGAGCCCTGCTGAGAGCCAGCAGATAGAGCTCAAAGCAGGCTCAGAGGGAACAATACAAAAGGGGGTAAAATATGAATACACGAGTTTAGGACTCAAGAAAGAGAGAAACAGAACAGAAGTGAGAGAGCTGGAAAAAGAGGCTGAGCTCTCCTTTACAATCACTTATATAATCTATACATTGAATATTCTATTCCTTTACTAACCAATCTTTCTAAGCATACTAATACAGTAACATTTGTGTGCGACCTATAGAAATCGCCGCTTTTGCATATTTTTAATTACCTCAGGGTCCTTCAGACTTTTCTTTATGAGGCTGGGGAGAGGGGTCTCAGTTTTATTGGGGGACAGAATGTGTTCTGGCCCACCAGCCCGGTTTCTTTGAATTATTCAAACCGTTTTCATTTGTATTTCTTCCTTAGCCTCTCTGGCTAAGGAGTCATATTTATAATTCCTTTCTGATTCTACCTTCCCAACAGAATGGGTTTCCCCAAGGCGGGGATGATCCGGGCAGGGGATCATCACCCCCAGGCAGCAGCTCCGGGCTGTGGGATTCCCTCCCGTGCTGCTGCCGGGGACAGCGGGCGGTGCCCGGGTGACAGGAGGGGTGACACAGAGCTCCTGTCACCCGCGGGCTCGGGGGGCAGCAGCAGGAGGAGGAGGGTGGAGGGATGGAGGAGGAGAGGAAGGTGGGGGCGGTACCTGTGACAAGCGCCCGACCTCCAGGTAGAAGCAGATGATGAAGGCGTTCCAGCCGACCCACAGCACCAACCACACCGCGTACTGCGAGAGGAGACAGCGCATGGAGCCCCCGCAGCGCCCCGCGACCGTGGAAACACAAAACCACAGCTTTGGGGTGCTCGTGGAAACATAAAACCACAGCTTTGGGGTGCTCGTGGAAACATAAAACCACAGCTTTGGGACCCTCGTGGAAACACAAAACCACAGCTTTGGGGTGGGAGAGACCTTAGAGTTCATCCTGAACCTGCCACCGTGCCGCTCCCGGCCTTGGGCACTTGCAGGGATGGAGCGGCCGCCGCTCCTCTGTCCCCGGGCTGAGCCCCCCGTGCGCCCCCAGGGCGGTACCCACCATCATGAGGTATCTGGATCTGTACTGGATCGTCCCAAAAATCCCCAAAATCACGGCCATGATGTGCAGGAAATTGGCCAGGATGGGGGCCCACTGGTATCCCAGGAAATCAAAGATCTGCCTCTCCAGCGCCGCGACCTGGAACAGAGCAGGGGAAGGGAAAACGCGGCTGGAAAAGGCCGGGAATTCCCTGGATCATGGGCTGGAATGCCCGTGAGATGCAGCCGCCAGCAGGACAGGGGTTACCGGGGGCATTTGGAGCAAAAAGGGGAATGCGAGGAGGTGTAACCCCACATCACCCTCCGTGCCTCAGTTTCCCCATCGCTCGGGCATCCCAGAGGATGATTTATGATGGGAAACGCCTCCAGCTCCCGGATTTTGATTTCCTGCCCATCCTCTCTGGATCTCGGGATCACCATTTGTAATCCATGATAAATCCCCCCGCCAGGATCCCGCCCTGATCCCAGCGCTGATTTCTGGCTCCGCTCGCTGCCGCCTCGGGCTCGAATACTCTTAATTACAGGATTAGCCCCGAGGAAGGGGCGAGCAAAGGCGAGGTGGGAGCTCTGGAATATTCAGCGACGGGTTTAAGTCAAAAAATGGGGATTTTGGATGAGTCCGTATTTTTTTAGGGAACTTTTAAGGAAGTTTTAGGGAACTTGAGGGTGCAGGGACAGGTGAGCAGCAGCTGGAAACCCCGAATTTCTTTCCATTTGTCTTACTCAGCCCTGTCCTGTCGCTCTTTGAGGTGCCCCAGATTCACCCTGAGAGCTCCAGGGCCCCCTGTCCTCCCCACGGCCCCATTCCCCAATTTCCTGCTGGAGAAAGGGGGAGTTTATCCTGAGAACCACAGGAAGGAAGGGCTTTGCATCCCCCCCTCCATTCACCAGCAGCTCCCAAAGGGGTCTGGAGTCAGGGGAGAAGCCATGGGGGTCCCAGGCAGCATCCCCCCTTAATTATTGGGGGAATTAATGAGGTGGGGAAAGCCCCTGCCTGAGTTTTTCCCAAGGATGTGAATCCACCAGCTGTGCCTCAGTTTCCCCAGCCATAAAACTCCAAGTACTCGTGGAATTTCCTTTGTGAGGGCTCCAATTCCCGCCGATTTTAGCCCAGCTCCACCCTGGGACTGCGATTTCCCATCTCCCACCCTATCCCTGGGGTGGGATTTGCTGGATCAGTGCCAGCAGGACCCCGATTTCGATTAAAGGCGATGGAAATCCGCAGAGCAGCAGCCCCTGGATCCGTGGGGCCGGGACAAGGCTGTTTGCACTGGGACTTAATTCACTTCCCTGCTGTTTAAACTCTCTGAGGAAACAGCCTCTGGAAATACTCACAGCCGGGCTGTAAATCTCCTAAATTGAGGAATGTAAATAATAAATGATACAGGGAGCGCCGTGCTCGGGCTTTTATGGCCACCCATCCATCTGGGGGCTGTCGGCAGAGCTGCTCAGAGGGAGCTGAGGGGAGTTTTGGGTACCAGGGATGCTCCAAGCTGAGGGATGGGGCTGGGAGAAGCCTCTGAGGGCATCCATGGAGCTGGAGTGAAGCACCACACCCGTGTGGCTCCTTAATTCCAGCCGGGACGGCCTGGAAGAGGAGAAGCTGGGAAAGCCCTGCTTGAACCAAACCCTTCTCCATCCTCAAGAGACAAAATTGGGGATAAATGATCCTGTTTCCCCACAGATGAGCAGAGGCTGCTAATTGCACTTGCTCTGCTGGAGCCCCCCAGCAGGTCCAGCGTTATTCCAGCTTTTCCCTCCGTGGGAAGAGCAGAGCTTGGTTTGTTCCATCCTGGTGGGATGCAGCTGGACGGGGACAGCACAGAGGCAGCGTGGCTGCAGCTCCACAGCTCTCACTGCCCGCCAAGGGCATCCCAAGGACATCCCAGGGGCATCCCAGGGTGTCCCAAGGGCATCCCAAGGACATCCTGGGGTGTCCCAAGGACATCCCAAGGACATCCCAAGGACATCCCAGGGGCATCCCAGGGGTGTCCCAAGGGTGACCCAAGGACATCCCAGGGGCATCCCAGGGGTGTCCCAAGGACATCCCAGGGGTGTCCCAAGGGTGTCCCAAGGGCATCCCAAGGACATCCCACGGGCATTCCAGGGTGTCCCAAGGACATCCCAGGGGCATCCCAAGGACATTCTGGGGTGTCCCAAGGGCATCCCAGGGGTGCTCCAAGGACACCCCAAGGACATCCCAGGGACATCCTGGGGGTGTCTCAGGGCCAGCCCCACGCCTTTCACAGCTGGGGAAACTGAGGCACGATCTCCAGCGGGAGACTCCGGGCGTGGTGCCCCCTGCACGGGGATTGTGGGGCTCAGCTCAGTGCTCTGCTCCAGCCCCCGGGGCATCGGCCCGGCCCTTTGGGGATCCAATGTCACTGGGAGGGACCTTCAGGACCCCCCGCCCTTCAGAGACCGCAGCCCTGGCCCCCCCAGAACTTCCCAGCCTCATCCGGCACCCCAAAACTGTTCCGTGGGGCTCAGAGCATCCTCCCCAGGCCGTGCAGCTCCTGGAACGGGAATTCCCGGTGCTCAGGGCACCCCCGGCCCCATGGACGCTCCCCGCTCCCAGCTCCAGCCGCTCTGCCATGCAAACGCCGTCCCACTGCTAATTAAGATAAACCCGCGGCTGATCAATGCAACGAGTTTTAGGGCTCCCTCTTAATTAAACACTCACGAGCTCATCGATCGGCCCCGAAAGTTCTCTTTGCAGCAAATCACATCAATTACCGGGGGCGGGCACCGCGCCCCGCTCGCTCCAGCGCGCTGCCCGCAGGGATTTCCACCGGGAAACTGAGGCAGGGGAGACCGAGCTCCATCGGCGGGTGAGGGGAGCACCGTGCCAGGACGGGACACTCGTGGTGGGGACAGTGCCAGGAGGGGACACTCGTGGTGGGGACAGTGCCAGGAGGGGACACTCGTGGGGAGGACGGTGCCAGGAGGGGACACTCGTGGTGGGGACGGTGCCAGGAGGGGACATGAGCTGCAGGGCTCAGCCGGGGCTCGGGGAGATGCAGGAAAATGGGATTTTTCCGGCGTGCTGGCAGCAAATTTGAGAGGGAAGGAGCTCATCTGTCCCTGAGTCACCCGTCGGGTTTGGCACCCTCACCTTCTCCAGACCCATCCCATCACTCCAGGTTTTCCCAGTCCTTAATGCCCGTGAGGAGGACGGGAGGGATGGACACCAGGGAGCTCCTTCCCCACAGCTGAGCTTGGAAATCCGGCTCAGCCAAGGGGGGAGCGCTGGATGAACACCCCAGACCCAGAACCTCGGAAACCGGGAGCCTTCCTGCCCGGCAGCTCCCCCTCCTCCTGGAACCGGAGAATCCCGGAGTGCTTTGGGTTGGAGGGACCTGTGAAACCCTTCCCATTCCATGGGCAGGGACATTCCCACTGTCCCAAACCCATCCAGCCTGGCCTTGGGCACTGCCAGGGATCCAGGGACAGCCACAGCTGCTCTGGCAATTCCAGCCCAGCCCCTCCCCACCCTGCCAGGGAACAATTCCTGCCCAAGATCCCACCCAAATCTCCCCTTTTCCAATCTCAAGCCATTCCCTGTGTCCTGTCCCTGCAGGCCTTGTCCCCAGTCCCTCTCCAGCTCTCCTGGAGCCCCTGCAGGCCCTGGAGGGGGCTCTGAGCTCTCCCTGGAGCCTCCTCTGTGTTCCCGGAGCACTCGGGATCCCGGAGCTGGCCCTGGATCCCGAACAGGGGGGATGTTCCTCTCCTGGCCTCCCTGGGACCCCCGGGCGCCCCCCCAGCCCCAGCCCCGCTCCCACATCCGAGCTCCTGCCTCTGTCCATCCCTCAGGATTCCAGCGGGGAGCGCTGGGAAATGCGGCCTGGGGGTGGCCAACGGCAGCAATAATAATAATAATAGTAATAATAATAATAGTAATAACAATAATAATAATAATAATAATAATAATAATAATAATAATAATAATAATAATAATAATAATTATAATAATAACCATAATAATAATAATAATAATAATAATCATCATCATCATCAGTAGTATTACTATATTTATACTGTTATATTTATATTATAATTTTAGATATAATAATATATATTATATAATTATATTATACTATATATGATATATGATATATCATATATGATATATAATATATAGCATATAATATATAATATATGATATATGATATATGATATATAATATATAATACATAATACATAATATATAATATATAATATATAATATATAATATATAATATATAATATATAATATATAATTATATTACATGTAATATACATAATATAATTATATAACATATATTCTATCGAATAGATAAAGTATAATATAATTATATAATATATATTATATATAGTGTATATAATACTATAATTATATATAATATATTTATATATTTATATATTTATATTTATATTTATATTTATATTTATATTTATATTTATATTTGTATTTCCCCTAACTGTAGAGGATCAAGCCTGGCTCCTCCTGTTCTGGCTCCATCACAGGAAAGGGAAACTGAGGCACGGCATAGGGAGACCTCTCCCCCCACCCCCCCCAAACGTTCAGGGTGCTCTGAGATTCTGGGAATGCTGAAATCCAGGGAATTCGGTGTTCCCACATGGAGAGGGGATGCTCCATGACCCCTCCCGAGGCTTCACAGCTCAGGAGGAAGCTCCTCCTTCACTCCCTCCAAACAAATCCCTGAGCCCCATCAGCTCCCGAGCTCCGGCTGCGTCTGGCTCCAATATCCCCATAAATCCTGGGAATTCGGGCTGTTTTCCTTTTCCCCCTGCAAACCCCACAAATTCCCGATTTTCCGGGGAGCAGGCTGGCCCAGCTGATTTATCCCGACAAAACATCTGAGCTCTGACAGGACACTCCTCCGAGCCCAAACCCGTCCAGAGCATCCCACAAACCCCGAGATCCCTCAAACCCCGAGATCCCACAAACCCCGAGATCCCACAAACCCTGAGATCACACACAGCCCGAGATCCCACAAACCCTGAGATCCCACAAACCCTGAGATCCCACAAACCCCGAGATCACAGAAAGCCCGAGATCCTACAAACCCCGAGATCCCACAAACCCTGAGATCCCACAAAGCCCGAGATCCTACAAACCCCGAGATCCCTCAAAC